TATATATATATATATGAATGTCCTGGGGTTATTATACGAGTCCCGGGTATTCTCGATGCACCTAAATATTCGAGTACCACACTCTCCACTGGGGGGAATCAAACCCTAGACCATACATACATACCACAATTCATATCTTTGAATATTTTCATAAATACCACTCAATTATTATATATATATATATATATATATATATATCCTAAACTTCAATTTGTACATGCACACCACATTGGATAAGACATACATAACATAAAGATTTTCATACACACCTAGCACCTAAACATTACCTATGAAAGTCTCATTTCACCAAATCAAAATTTAAATGACAAAGACTGATGCAAATGGAATTAACTTCCTCAATGTTTTATGATTGGAGCGTAGCAGAAGGATAAAAACTACAAAAGTTGAATTTGTGTTGAAGTTCATCGAATTATTTCAACATAAACAAGTAAAATATTTGAGTAAATTTTTAGAGGCAAAGTCGACGTCTAATTCGTCGCAACTCCAAAATAAGTTTCGTCATTTTTAGAAACTTTTACCGATGAATAATCCTATGCAAATCCAACCCAAAATCCGAAGCAAATATCACACTTTATTTTTTGCCGCTTAGCCGCCACTAATATCAGACGCTAATTCCAACTTCTTCTGTAGTGTTTCCTTTTGATTCGTTTGAAGCATGGAAGGGGAACTTCTAGAGTGTACGCTCATCCTCTTCCACCATATTCTTCCTTCAAATCTCCCTTCCATTATACGAGCACACAAACAATGTACATACACATGAATTTGAAGTTATGAACACGTTGAGGAGATCATATCTCAAGCACAAATATCTCAACTCTATATCTTCCTCTTTCTATAACAAATCTAAGATTAATTATATACGTAATTACTTATACACAATTCCCTTCATAACAACAGTATGTAAATTAAAAAATAAAAATAAAATCTTCTCCCACCATCAATCAACAATTACATAAATGTCTAATTGCCATCCTCATTTGTTCCTCTGCTTGGACCAGATTGATAAAAGCTTCCTCTTGGAAGGATGTTAAGGAGGAGCGGCCGGTACATCTCCACCGCAGCCTCCGGCTTCGATGCCGGCAACTCCGCCGGAGCGGCACTCGGAGAAGCCCGTAAGCACCTGATTGGCCGGACGGCGCATGGCCGAGAAGCAGCGAGGAGGATGATGAAGATGAGGACAGAGATGGATTGGAAAACTGAAGCCATGGGTGAGACAAAAAAATGGAGGGGAGAAATGGTTTTATATGGAAATATATGTATTAAGATATCCTAATCCAAGACAGAACACCCAATTCTTATGCATTTACATATCTCACCCTAAAATTTTAAATTTTTACAAACATAACACTTTACCGATGCATGAAAATATGAATTTCACCACTTTAGATGTCGTGTTTGTAAAAATTAAAGTTTGGGTGCTCCATATGTAAATTTTCTTATTATATAAATAGTAGTGCTCATGAACTATTTTTATGGAAATAAAATAAAAAAAATTTCTTCTAATTTTGAACATTTATTAAGGAGGAGAATTAATTTATTGATATATCAAGCTGATTTTAATTTAGGTATTTCCAAATGGAGTTGCCCCTCCATGTTTTGTATTGTTCTATGTGTCTTTGTTATTTTGCTATTTACCTTTTTTTTTATTTATTTGTCGTTTATGAGTTTGGAAATCTTCTATAAAGATAATCAAATAAATTAAAATGAGATAGAAAGGTATTGTTTGTTTCTCTTCAATATCTCAGTTTGATATTTTGGAATTGTCTAATGTTTATTTGAGAGCAAATTTTGCTATTTTATGCACATTTTCATGAGTTTTTAACGTTATATTCAAAGGAAAATGTTAGGTATGACTCATATACTATTTAAGGGACAAATGTTATAGCGGAGCAGAAGATTCTGTGCAAATCGAGGAAGTTTACTAATGTGGGTTGGGGGTGCGGTACATGGGTAATTTGATAATTACATATTGTACTCAGTGTTTCCTTTCATACTCTTTCTAGGGTTATAAATAGGTCTTTGTAACCCTAAGTTATGCGAATTTTATGTCATGTACTCTTTTTTTGGATTAGTGGAAAAGCCGCCGCTCTGCTCTCGAGGACGTAGGCATTTTGTCGAACATCGTTAAATCTCTGTGTGTTCTTCTGGATTTGTGCCGATTTCTGTTTTTTCTTCGCCCAAATTTCTCAACAGAAATTTTCATGGATATCACACAATTAATGTTTATTTACATATCTAGCATCTAAACTCTTATGTTTACATTTATGAAATTTTGATATCATAAACTGATAAAAATATGCGTGAAAAATAAATATTTTAAATAGACAAATTAAATAATAATGCTATTTTTGTTGTCATATTGATGATTTTTGAGTGTTAGGTGTGTAAATTTGAAAATTTTAAGTGTGAGATATATAAGAAATAAAACTTAAACTCTCCAATCTCATGCATGGTTGTCATAAAATGAAAGGCCATATATGCTAATTAAAGAGTCAGCCCAATTTGAATTCTTCCCTATATGGTTAGTTATCATTTTTTCTATCTTAAAATTCAATGAATCTCATTCTCCTACTTGCATGTCATTTCATGAATTGGGTTTATACATAAAAATAAGATGCACGGATC